CCAAGGCGCCAGGCCAACCCAGCAGATATTTACAACTACACTAGCAGTCACACTGCGCTAGTTAGCATTAGCAGAGTGCATCACGGGTGACTGTTGGACAGCAGCTCTTAAATCTGGAGCTGTGATGTGGAAAAGCTTGTGGGGGTTAACGTGGGATCTGTTCACCTTTTCAAGGGCCACGCCACCAGTTTGTACATAGTAATGTTATTCAGTGGTCACAGGTTTACTGACGCAGGCATTGATGCAATGGGAAGTTTCCTAGACCCATTTGACAGGGCTGTTTCATGAATAGCTCACCCATATATACACCCATGTATACTGCAGCACAATGCTGCAACATAGCTGCAGAATCTTACACATCACTACTAAAGCACTGTGTTCCATAGATATTTCTTTTAGTTTTTTTGCTTAGATTCCAATTTTTTAAATCAGATTCTATCACTTGGTTATTAGATCGCTGATTTCTTCACATTACAGCCAGTTTTGAATTTGCATTGCTTTTAAAACATCCTCCAATGAATAACTACTGTCACACTGGACCCCCTTTTTGCCTTCCGAGCTGCCTTAATTCTTTGTGGCACTGAGTCAACAAGGTGCTGGAAACATTCCTCAGAGATTTTGATCCATATTAAAATCGCACAGTTACATCCATGATGTGACTCTCCTGTTCCACCACATCCCAGAAGTGTTCTTTTGAATTTAGATCTGGTGGTTATGGAAGCCATTTGAGTACAGTAAACTCATGCTCAAGGAACCGGATTTAAATTATTTGAGCTTTGTGACATAGTGTGTTATCCTGCTGGAAGCAACAATATAAGGTTTGGGTACACTGTGGATATAAAAGGATGTACATGGTCAGTAATTAGGTAGGCTGTCTTTAAATGAAGCTCAAGTGGTTATTTTCTTGGCAAAGTGTGCCTAGAAAATAACACGCTCACCATTACACCACCATCACCAGCCTGCATCTTTAATACCATTCAGGATGGATCCATACTTTCATGTTGTTTCTGACCCTGCCAGTAGAAATTTGAGTTCATTAGACCAGACAACTTTTTTTCCAATCTTCTTTTGTCCAACTTTGTTACTCTTGTGTGAATTGTAGACACGGTTTCCTGTGGCACTTCAATGTTCAACTAGTTGTGCTTTCAGAGATGCTCTTCTGCACATCTTGGTTGTAATAAGTGGTTATACAAGTTACCGTTGTCTTCCTATAAGCTCAAAGCAGTCTGGCAATTCTCCTCGAATATCTAACATCGACAAGGCATTTTCAACTATGCCTACATGGCTAAATGCACTGAGTTGCTCCCATGTGATTGGCTACTTATGTATTTAAGTGAAGAAGCAGTTGAACAGATTTACCTAATAAAGTGGCGACTGAGTGCATAATGTTCAAAGCAGAAGTAGAAATGTACGGCATTATTACCAGAAATACTTCTCGTGCAATTTTTAGCCAACTGCTTGTCGTCACCATATAACTTCTGTCATGGAGACAGAGAAAAACATACCAGACTACCCCCTTCTCCTTCCACAGCCCACCTGTTGCACACAGACAAACAGTTGTACACTGCATTGTTACAGACTGGAATGCAACTGCTCCATCCCCACTGCGCTACGTGTCCTGTCTGGCACGGGTGATCCACTGTAACAGAAGGTGATGCCTCCCCTCCTTTAAATTGCATTCTTCTGATTTTATATCAGATTTTCAGGCGCTCACTGTCAGGATTGTGCTCTCAATCTAGATTTAGTTTTTTTTTTTGGCTGTACCCTTTGGTTGGACTTTGGGATTATGATGTTCAATATTGCTAGTAGTATTGCTAGCTTATGTCTCATTTCCTACCTGTTTAACATTAAAATAAAATAAAATAAAAGACAAATGTTTGACACAACATTTTGATGATTGAGGAAGCTGTGAGAAAACCCTAACCAGTTCATTTTACAGTACACTTCATTTGATCTACACAAAAAGATTATAATTGAAGAGATCCACGTGGCAGGCATGCCTAAAAGGAGTATAACAACCCAAGGGTCATGCAATCAGCTCTTTTCTTTTGAGATCTTGTAGTTCTTTGTGAGTGCCGCTCCACAGTTCTAATACCTGAAGGGGCAAGCATGTGTGAAGTTAGAGGGTAGAACCTCTGTGTAGAGGCAACAGTGGGGCTGCAGATCACACTGAATGGTGCAAGTATATCACTTCTGAGCTGTCGCACATACAAAATGGGTTATTCATGTGGACAGTTTTGGGCCTGAAATGTTAAGGGTTGATGGATTTAGGAATGATTAGTGTGTGTTCATGTGTGTGTGTGTGTGTGTCAGAATTAATTTACACATTTCTACAAGCCCAACAAGGAAAGGAAAATATGTTGCTATGCTGTTAAAAAGGTGTTTGGTCACGAGGGATGTGAATGGCTTTGTTGTTCTGTTGCGTTAATTAGAAGGTTGGAGGAGATCTGGATGCTTTACACCTTATATATATATATATGACATCAGGTCTAGGTCAAGAATTTAAGAAGGGTGGTAAAAAGTGAAGAGGGTAGTTGTCAAACCTGTCAAAGCTAAAACTCTGACCTTTTTGACACCCACCCACACAGCCCTGTGTTGTGGGTGTTGAGAAGTCAGACCTCAGGGCAGTACGAAGCTGCAGATGCTGGGAGGGGGAGAGGATGGTACTTCTCAACTGCCATTCCAAGTGTTTTTTTTTTTTACCTCAAGCTTGTCAATGTGTTTCATGTCTTTCGTGCCACTACTCATGCACTTAACATGCCGTTACAGTATTTTATGGTTCCTTCAAACAATACGTAGGTGCTGGACATATTTCAAGAGCATGTGTTTAGACTGGCAGAACACAGTTGGAAAGACAGGTCTGAAATTAAGCAAAGCCATGCCAGGACAGGCATGGCTTTGCTTAAGCAGTTTCCAAGATCACACTGTGTGTTTCTAGCTGTGTTTGTTTCCAGAGGATTCATCTTGCCAACACTCAATGTTCGGCATCAAGTCAATAATAAGTCCCTGGATCTTTGTGTCATCATCGCATTACTTGTAACTAAACTTTGAGATTGCATAGCGACTTGCAGACTACAGCTCAGTTTGTATCCCAAGAAGCTAGTTTAAATGTTGCACTACCCATCTTGAACCCAAATCTCTGTTGAAACACAGCTGGTGTCTGATTGTTTCAGCACTCTAATTTGGACTTTGGCTTCTTTTTTTATTTTTTGTGACACTGGAGGATCTTGTTGCCATCTTTATCATCACAAGTGGTGGAGGAGATTTTCACTGCTGAACGTTGATGTCAGCAGCAGGTTCCTGTAAGCAGGGACATGCTCTGCTTTGGGGGCATTAGGGGGGAAGGGGAATGTGGCGCTATGTTTGGAATCTGAGATGGGTCTGCGTGCCAGCCAGCAAGTCTCTCGCCACTGCACCGACCCTTTTTCTTTTTTTTTTCCTTTGCTTTTTTACACTCGTGCCATCTCACCCTCCTGACATCTCTTAACGTCACTGCAGCCCATGTGAACCAAACTTCCTGCAGGTCCTCATCAGAACCAGCATGCTGATTACAGGCAACTCCTGCTTCTATTTTTAGATTGCAGCCTGTGCAGCCGTGCATCTTTTTTTTTTGTTAGTTGCGCATCCTGTTGCATGCGGGTGGAAGTATTCTCTGATTAATTTTAGGACACACCCTATTCAAAGCTGTGGTTGCAAGTTGTTTTATTTACTTTCCGCTTGGACCCTGATTAAAGACGTTTCCTGATTTGCAAACTGTTTTGTTGTTTATTGGTGATTGTCTGCAATCTTCAGGCAGAAAAAAAAGGCGGACGTTTCCGTAACTGACCTCTGAACTCTGTCACAATCTATCAACCTAAGGGCTTCTTGAACTTGAGGCTTTTTCTTGTCAGTATAATTGTGGGTCCTTTTTGACACAGTAAGTCCACAGCAGATGCATTGCCAGACTTTGCTCTGCTTTGATATGTTTGTATTAGAGCTCCTCGTCTCATGCAAGTCAGTAACTGAAATATTTCAAATGCTTCCTTGAGCTTTCATCAATGTGCTGTGGGATGCTGGACGAGTGTGGGCCTGTCTTCATCCGCCTCGAAGACAGACAGTCTGTAGAAATGTCTGTTATTGAAGTAGTGCACCGCATTATGTAGATGCAGTTACATTCATGAGCTTAGCAATGAGTGCAGGTACTGCAGGTTATATGTTTTTGAACCATGCAATGTTTCCGCGTGCCAGCTTTTAGATAAACTCTTTCTAAACCATGCTAAACAAGATGTGGACGGGTGTGGTAGTCGGGTGTAGGCGAGGCCTTTTTGTTGACACTGCAGGTGTCACGTGCAGGATGGTGTCAAAAACGTTTGTGATCCAAGCTATGTCAAGTCCATGTCAAGTCATAACAAAGAGACCTTTGACTGCACAAATTACTATTCTTTTGTACAATGTTCAATCAAGCTGAAGTCACCCGCTTTTAGGGCTTGATAACGATGTTGACGAACTGTAAAGGAAATGTACTGCGGTGAATATCATGGGCCTGACAGAAAGCTCAGTGTTGGCAGAAACCGTCACTGACATCATTCTCTGGCCTCGTGTGGACTGAGTATTCTGATGGGAGGTGAAGATAGAAAGTTCGGGGAAGCATACAGGGATCATGTGGGCTGCACCTGCACCAGTTTATACACTCTAACAAATGTTGGCCACACAGATACCGCTAAAGCTGAGACTCAAGAATAAAAGGGCTCAAAACAGGACATTCTTCCTCATTCAAAGCCATTAATTCTGTGGTGATCATTTACAGAGATAATACAGCCAAGCTGTTGTTGTGTCCATATATTCACAAGAGAGAAAATGATATCTTCAGAGCTCCAGGTCAAGCAGGGAACTTTGACAGAGCAAGTACAGGAAACTGTATTTTGCCAAAATTCATTCTGAACACTGGGTGCTTTTTTTATTTACCCTCCTCTTTGCTCTCTCTCTCTCTTTTTATTTTTTAATTTTTTTTTTATTTTTAGCTCTTCCATGTCGCATATGTCCTCATTAAGTTTGCGAATTCACCACGTCCTGACCTGTGGGTGCTGGAGAGGTCTGTCGACAATGGGAAAACCTTCACCCCCTGGCAGTATTTTGCACGTAAGTTCATATGTTAATGCATTAAAAACCTTCTCCTGCGAGTTGGTGCACTTTTTGTGCTGTGAATCAAATATTGAATCCTCTTGACTGTGGTGCCAACTTGAATCAATTACTCAACTGAGTTTCAAATCAAGGAAACGTGCAGGTCTGCAGAATGCCTTTTAAAATAAATAAGTGCCGTTTTCTATTGTTGTCTATAATGATGTAATTAGTGATGACAGATTCTTTTAGACTCTGTTCTCATAAAGGTTTTCTCTGTGGATTAAATAAAAAAAATAAATCATTTTTTTTTAAAAGTCATAAATACACAGATAGGGCAGAGTTTCATGTCTCTGCACTACACAGCTTTGGGCCTTTTTATGGAAAGGATTTAAAATTCAGCCTACCAAAAGCTATCACAGCAATCCAGGGTATTATACATTTCTAGAACTGGCAGAGGCAAAAAGAGTGTGGTCATCATTAACACTATTAGTTATACACGTGTCTTTCCTGCCATGACAAGTCAAAGTGTTTCTGTAAAGAAAAAGGCCTGCGGACAGAGTTAAAACTTTGTACTGCAGTATGTTTAATCAGAGACAGATTTAGACAGGGAGTGGGTGTGAACGAAAACCTTTGATTTAATTTGACTTGTTGAAAACATGCGAGAATATTAGCTTAAATCTGATTTTGGTGTATTAAAAGTGGCAGGTGGTGACACGCTGCAAATCTGACACTGAACTGCTACCATTTTACATACTTAATGCATATTTTGTATGTGCTGATTGGGGATATCTGAGGGAAGGTGGGATGCGTGCACAGAGCTTGCCAGGAGACACAGCTGTGACTCATCTGTTTTACAGTCTCAAGGTTTCTCTTCAAGTTTGTGTTCTTTCAGGAGCTATCATGAGTTAGAGACTATTAGCTTAACCTTGAGTTTTACCTTTAAAAAATTATTTCCGGCTGCATAAACACTGCAACTGCATATTATATTATTCCTTCCAGTGTATATATATAGAGAGATTTGAGATTATTTAAAATCCCAGTTTTTCCATTTAAAATTATACTTCTTTGGTCTTTTCTTTTTGCATCATGCAAAAGGAACATGATCCTTTTGATCATGTGAAGATGCCAATGTAATTTCTTTACATTGACAAGAGAACTAATTAATTAAATAAAGGATTTATTATAAAAATATAAAGAATAAAGGGTGTCTTCTTCTCCTTCTTCTTCTTCTTCTTCTTGGCAGATTCAGCACGTGAGTGTATTGAGAGGTTTGAAAAGCAGCCCAATGCCCGTTTATTAAATGATGACGACCAGCTCTGCATCACAGAATACTCGCGGATCATCCCTTTGGAGAATGGAGAGGTAAAATAAAAATGTATTTCTTTCTCCTTTTTTTCTTTTGAAGTAAACCAAATAGCTTGATATTGTGATAAGCATTGTAAATGGATTGTAAATTTGTATTGTTTAGGTTGTGGTATCCCTTGTCAACGGCCGTCCGGGGGCCAAAAACTTTACCTACTCACCTGCGCTGCGAGACTTTACAAAGGCTACCAATATCCGCTTGCACTTCCTCCGCACCAACACCCTGCTCGGCCACCTCATCTCCAAGGCCCAGAGAGACCCCACCGTTACACGCAGGGTGAGACACACTCAACAACCTCACACTATGGTGTCATGCTGGCAGGCTCTTGTTTCCCATTTGGCCTTTGCAGCACCCACCTGCCAGCTTGTTTTTTGCTGAAACAAGCGCACAGGCCTGCCCACATGTTCACCTGTGTTGAGACCCACTGCCAGGTCTGTCTGTTATCTATCATATGAGTCATCTTGGTAATTTCCCTGATACAGAGTAGTGTACAGGACTGTGCAAAACATCTGAGCTACTCCTCATTTTTTTTTATATTTTGCTTCCAGTAGCCAATATTTCTCCAGGCTTTCTGAAGATCTGTCATAGTGTTTCTTTGAAACTGGCTGGTTTTTCACTTATTTTCAGTCAAGTCCTTATATTTGACCATTTTTAGGGGAACACCTATAAGCAATTCAAGCATAAAAAGGCACCTAAGTTACAAATAATTATTTGTTTCCATTTCATCAGTTGAATCCGTGTCAAAAAAACACACTCTGACAGGAAGAAAAAAAACATTTTATCAGCAACAAGGTAAAGCCCAAAGTGCTATTAGCCGAAAACTTTGTATATCTCAGCACGGTGTGCAGTGTGTCCTGAAAAAAAACTTTGAGGAAACTTGTGGAGGACAAAAGCGATAGACCTAA